CCAAAGTTTAATTTGAAGGGATGAAAGGCCGTTAAATTGGATGACGGTAGCAAAATGGCGTTAAGGCGAAACGTACATTCATTCTTCTTTAGGAATGAGATACCAACCCTCAAGGCTGTACATGCAGCGACCAAGGAAAATGAAATTATACCCCAAATGAGCGTCGAGGTAATGAGGAAATCCCTGAACCAAATTAATTTTCGTTACGAAACGCGTAATCGGAAGTATTGATAGAGAGACCTGAAATAGTCGCCTGGCGTCGAAAATACCTACGCGAAATGATTGAATATAGGCGACAAAGCAGAAAAATCTATTATTTGGACGAGACATGGGTAAATGCAGGTCACACAGTTAAAAAAACCTGGATAGACAAAAACGTAGTGAGTAACCGACAAGCAAGCATTGAAGGTTTGTCAACAGGTCTTCGTGGACCGTCAGGGAAAGGTCAAAGATTGATCATAACTCATATTGGTAGCGATAGTGGCTTTTTAGAAGAGTGTGACTTGATTTTCGTATCTAAGAAAGGAGGTGATTACCATGACGAAATGAATGCCAACTGCTTCGAGAGCTGGTTTCAAGGGGTGCTTCAGCGAGTTGAGCCCAACTCTGTGATCGTCATGGATAATGCTTCCTACCATAGTCGTCGAGCCGAACGTGTACCGACTATGGGATCTCGAAAAAGTGACATGCAGCAATGGTTGCGCGAAAAAGGAATCCCGTTTGACGATTCATGTGTGAAAGCGGAATTGTATGAAAAAATTAAACAGCACAAACCTGCGAACATTAGTTACGTGACTGATGAGATGGCCCGTCAATGTGGTGTCACTATGCTGCGGTTACCGCCCTACCACTGTGAACTGAACCCAATAGAGCTCATCTGGGCTCAAGGGAAAGGTTATATTGCGCGCCATAACACGACCTTCAAATTACCAGACGTTAAGGTTTTACTTGAGACTTCCATACAGCTAGTAACGCCCGAAGCTTGGCAGAATGCTATCCGTCATGTTGTGAAGGAAGAAGCAAAAATGTGGCAGCTTGACCACCACACCGACACCATCATAGAGCCAGTTATAGTCAATTTCAACGAGGAAAGCGATAGCGACAGTTTATTACTGTCAGATGTATGTGGAAGCGACGATGAATAAAGGTAATTCCCAAATTTTTGACTTACAATATGTTTCAAATCACTCTTTATTAAGCATGTGACAAATCTAGTTCACCCATGTTAAACATTCATACCCCGCCTATGAACAGCCGACTACTGGTAGTTAAGTGATATTCACGTCAACATCGATGAGTCATTACAGTTTTAGATAGTTATAGTATAGCAAAAACCGGATCTCTAACACCCGAAACGAAACTACGCTAGATTAAAACAGTTTAAAGACGGTACATCGTTTTGAGCGTTTTTATACCCGCAATTGTTGTCAATACACAGTATTCATAAATGGCGGGACAGAAATGTAGGAGAAAAACTGCTTTAGCCTGAATGGTTTTCCTCGGGGTCCTTTTTTCCGTCTGAGAGGCTTCTGAGCACCTTAACGAAAATTGAAAGAGGGTGAAAACGACAAAGGATTTCCGTGTCAAGTTGATTTATCTTTCGCGGTTTCTAGAATTTTAAAATGAGATGGTTGCTAATTGTCAGCGAGAATAATCGCCGCGTAGGGGGTGAAGTCGGGATTTCGTGTCGGTTTTTGCGGATCAGGCAATTCATTGATTAGAAACGGGGGTTGAAGGTTAGAGCGGCTTGTTTATCCGGGAACACCCGGGCAAAGGAATCAGCTTAATCAGAAAAGAGAATGTTGTTCAAACTTGGAAAGCGCTGTAACATTGTTCCGGCAAACGCAAGGCGTACATGGTGGTTCTGAGGTTTCAATTCCTGCAATAGTTGAGGTTTATATGGATGCAATTTAAGGTATTTTACCAAAGTACGGCTTAAAGATGTTTTTGATATGGCGAGCTGATCTCTTTCGGGGTGATAACTGTGGATCGCGCCATATATTTATTTATATTTTCTCAAAAATTTTTGAAAAGCTGATTTATGATCCTATCTTAAACATTACAAAAAATATCATTACGGAACACCAGCATGGATTTTTCCCTAAACGATCTGTAGAGACGAATTTGATGAGTTTTATAGAATATGCCTCTCACGGAATAGATGAGAAACTGCAGGTGGATGTTATTTATACCGACTTCAGTAAGGCTTTCGACAAGACTGATCATTCTATCTTGATGGAGAGACTTGCTGAGGTGGGCGTAGATGGTCCATTATGGCATTGGCTAGCATCGTATATAAGTAATCGTAAACAAGTGGTGACTATCAATGGGTATCGTTCGGAGACATTCTTAGTAACTTCAGGCGTACCACAAGGTAGGACATGAACAACCTTACTTCTGTTTTTCATTTCAGTAAATATTTGTTATATGCTGATGATCTAAAGATATTTACTATTGTTAGAAATGTAAATGACGGTGTAAAACTTCAAAGCGATTTGGAATCTCTGCAAAAGTATTGCACTGAAAACAGTATCTTCCTGAATTTAACAAAATGTCATTACATGAGGCTTACTAGAAACATAGCGAACACTATAGATTTCAGATATACGATAGGGACGGCAGAGCTGGAAAAGCTTCATGTAGTAAAAGACCTAGGGGTATACATTGATGAGAAACTCTCATTCATCACCCACGTAGAGCACATCGTAAATGATGCAAATAGAACACTAGGGTTCATAAACAGGACATGCAGAGAATTTACGAACCCAAAAACGCTTCTTTCATTGTACTACGCTTATATACACAACAAACTGATGTTTGCATCAGTAATATGGAATCCGTCTTACAATGTACATATAGTCAGGATAGAAAGAATTCAACACAAATTTTTGAAGATGTCAGCACATAAAACTCACCAACCTGTTACAGATCATCATTATACGCAAATTATGAAACAGTTCAATATGATTTCCTTAAAAGATAGAAGAACGATTTCTGACATTTGTTGTGTCCATAAATTGTTGAATGGCCTCACTGACTGTCCGGATCTTTTGGCAAACTTGAACTTTAACACTCCTGATAGAACGTTTAGAACCTATCATCTGTTTAGAATACCGTTCCGTAGAACCAATCTTGGTCTTAATTCCCCTTTATTCAGGGCTCAAAAAAATCATAATAATTTCTGTAATATAGATTTATTTAACATTAGCTTGACCTCCCTGAAAAAGGCTTTAAAGTATGAGTATTACAGCTCTATGGCAGACTAAAATAGAAATGTTTTATTTTTTTACATAACTCAAGTTATCACCTCCAATATCATTTCTGGTATAATTTCAATTTAATTTTGATTTCAGTTTTAATTAAACGTAATTAAATGTTAAATTATGTATACTCCTTTTATTAAAAAAGTTAAATTAATAGTTAATTGCTTATAATTAGAACTACTCACTCAGTTTATGTTGTTACAACAATATCGGAGGATAAAAAAATATTAATATTGAAGTATTCAATAATGTAATATATGTATATGTATACGATATTTTATGTAAGTTTAGTTTTAGTTCACTGAGGGTGTGTGTTGGGTTTACCTGTTAACACCCCAAACTGTATATAAATAAAATAAAATAAATATAGACATCGCAACTTCGCTTACAGTTTCCTCGGTTCGTATTGACCTTGGGCAGGTTTCTGATTCAGTGTCGAACTACCGCACAGTGTGTTCCTTTCAGGGACAAAATTCGATATCTTAAAAACTAGTGGTCCTATTTGAATTCTGTAAACGCAGGGCGATTACTTATTTAAGTAGCTTTCTAAAGTATGACAAAACTATTTAAAATAATAAGAAGGGGTGGGGGAGTATAAATCGTCTTTTTTTGTAAAAGTCAAAATATTAAGTTGCTGATCTCGAATAAATTGGGATAATGTAGGATATTATTATAGCATTCTTGAGAGAGACAAAAAAGTCACGCTTTTATTTTTCAAGATCTTTACCGAATGATTTAAAAGATAATGTAGCCAACTTGTGGCGGGCGCAATATGATTTATTAAATTTGTCTATCTATTTGAAAAAATAATAAGAATAATTCAAATAAATAAATCTGTATAATTTGAAATTGATATTTAAGTTTTTATTTAAAAAAATATATTTAACAAAATAACAATTACTTAGTAGGTAATGTATGAAATAATAATATAAACTATATTAAAAAAATAACACCAAATATACCCATTCTAATCGGAATAGGATTTCTTGCTCGGTGCTGTGTAATTCGTTATTGTACCTAAGTCAATACCTAAATCATCATTTTCTTGCTTTTTTAAATAGTTCTGAACTGCCTCGTTGCATTTCTTATATTTTTTTGAGCCCACCTTTCTTTTTGAGGATATAAAAGGATCAGAAGTAAGTAAAAGAACACGCATGAGATCCTTATTCGTATCTGTTCTTGAACATTTTCTGGTGTGAGATAATCGATGTTTCCTAACCTCTTTATGGCGAGCCTCAAGCGCATCCTCCGACAGTTCTCCAATGGGCAAACAAAATGCATCAATTATCTCACACCCATGAACAAGGACCTTATGTACCGTGTTTGGCATGTTGTACCACTTATAAAGGTGGATATAAAAATTTCTTGCTTCTTCCAGCAATGACGCAAACTTTTCCATATCAATAGCGCAACCACTAGCTAACACTCCTAAGATGATCGCAAATTTCTCGATTAATTCCCTGTCAACCCCTGTGATATCTGAACTTGTTTGTGGATTGTGGAAAAAAATTCTGGCCGTATTGCCATCATTTGTGGAGCCATACCCGGGTTTTGGTTTGTCAACTATTAGAGACAGCTTGGCTCTGAACTCTGCTTGGATTCGGTTTTTTTTTCTTTGTTTTCAGGCCCACGAACCTGCCAAGATTTAATTGGCAGGCGGTATCCAATATGGAGTAAGCATTCAAAAAAACGAATCCAGCAGTGTAAAGTTGACAAACCAAACCGGTAATTGTTTACGTTAGGAGGATGGTTAATCCCTGCTAACGTGTTCATGTCCTTGGGTGTGGCTTCGCAAATGATGCACTTCATAGTTGAATTTGTCTCTGATAGAACGTTTCCAACACTGCCGTCCAACATTGTTAACATCATATCAACTTCAATTATATAAGAGTGCCCTTCTTTTGTCTTAATCTCAATAGGAATCAAATTTTCAATTTGTGTTATTATTTCCTTTTCCGTATTCCGCACTAAATCAGCATTTTCCTTTTTAAATAAAAACTTGATCGGCCTGCAATATAAAGTAGATGAAGGGCTCTCATTTTTCCACAATACTTTATTCGTTTCCATATCAATCAATCTGAGTGGCGTCATTGCTACAAGAAACAGAAATTCGTCGGTGTTTTCTAAATCAGAAAATTTCTGCTTATATTGGCTATGCCCAGAACTGCCATCAAATCCCCACTTGCATATCACTTTAATCCGGCAATCTCTCTCTTCAAAATTTATTATTTCAAGGATACTTTCAGCTGTTTTCTGTAGAAGTTCTTGCAAATCAACTTCTGCAGAAATTTCAGTAATAATAAATTGTAAAGGGAGAATAGCATTTTTTGTTTTCTGCAATTCTTTATAACTAGGAAGGCAGTTCTGGGCCTTACCATTAATAACAGACCTAAGTAGCAAATACTTTCTTACGGATATATCCAAATCTACCATAAGGGCTAAAGCTTCACCTGTACTAAAACTAAACATTTGTGGCGAGACCTCACTATGATTGCTTCCAGAAACCACATTTACAGCAAATTGAAGTTCATTTCCAGATCTGTCTGTGGTTAGTTCGGCTACACGTCTTCGTTTTGTTTTCTTCGATGCCTCTTCAAATGGCACCCGTGGCCGTCCAACTGAGCGACAAGGAGGTTCTTGTTCCTCATCCGAAGATGTGTTTTCTTCAGAATCATTATTTATTCTATATACAGGGTGACTTTGATGTTGAGTCATTAATTTTCAGATAATGATTGTAGAAGGAAGATAAACCCAAATATATGTGTAAAAATAAAAAAAAATAAAAAAAAAATGTTTACCTTGTTTTATAATGTATCCTCCCGACAAGTATTTCAGTGCGGACCTGTATTTGATCGTGAGGTCCCCTGTGAGGTCTTAAGTCACCTGATTCACGAGCCCGTTGTACTACATTAACAAAGGCACGAGGGGTTGGTTGCACTCGATTGGGAAACCGATCCGCATAAACATGTGCCATTTTTTATTTCGTTTGAGCCACGCAACAGACACTATTCACACGCGTTACCGACTGACACTGACTGTATGTATAACTGAACTGAATAAAATAATTGTAAGAACATCGTTCCAAATTCTTTCGCTTTTTTGTTTCCGATGCGATGAACCGATAAGGCGGATTATATCCGTTGTTGCCAAACACGAGCACATGATATTATTATTGAGACAGGGCGGTACTCAAACTTCCAAAGTGCTATAACTTTGTTACTTTAATTTTACCAGAAAAATGGTAAAGGAAAAAAACATTTCTTTTGATCAGATCTACTCACTGTTAAAATAAATGATTCAACTTCGAAGAATATATCAAATCACATCTCATGTCAAATTCAATTAAGCCGTATCCCAAGAAATAGATATTTCAGAGTTATTTTCAGGGTTACAAAGTAGCGTATGTGCTATTATTGTAGACTACAATCTATTTCTTTGCTAAATTTCATTTTTTCCTAAAACTTCAACCCCCCGAGTTTTTGTAAGGAAACATTTTTGGACCATAGTTTATAAAGCAAACTAACATTAATTTTCCATGTAGATTCACACCCTTGAATATTCGCATAACATTAAGGAACACCCTGTATATTGTAGAAATAATCGTGCGCTATTCTGTTTTGCAGATTTGCAAATATATCAAAAACGACGGCTGGGAGGTAGAGCAAGTGAACCCTAAGGCTATGATTTTGTAAAAGTCGATTCCGAGATTGTCCTACTTTCTGCGATTTATTTGCCATTTTCAACCCAAACAACTGGCTGCGTTTCATAATATTACTTTTAAGATGCTTGGAAGGTTCATCTGTTATATCAATAAGAGATAATTATCTTTTCATAAACCACCTGTTTTCTATTTCCTCTCGGTGCTTCTATCCACACATCAATCAAATCTCTATTTCTGACAATAGCACCATGTCCTAAAAAAAAATTTATTCGTGATTTAAACTTTTTATCAAAACTTACTATGGACAGATAAACAATAAATAAAAAAGTTCTTAGGGTGATGGGAGGTGATTTTTGTAAAACTCTAAACAAAGTCAAAAGTTAAAAAAAAAAAAAATAAAAAAATCGGTAATAGTCACTTTAACTTAAAAAATTATCTAATTATAGTTATATTTTAAATAAATCTATACATCAATATAATGTACTTACCAGCCTCATTACCAGCCATATTGGAAAAGTTAAAATATTTAAATATTTCGACACAAAATTTATATCTTTCCCGAGCAATAAAACAGAGAGATTTTTCGCCTTCTTGACAGGTCTCGACATGTCTAACTTTAAAGTTGCTAAAATAGGTAAATCGCAGCCAACTTGATTAAAGTACTATACTTGCGTGTTGCAGTGACTATTTATCTATCCAATGGTATAATAAAAGCAACAGAATTCTAATGCCAAAAATTATGTTTTTGAGTAATTTTGTCCATTGGGCGCCACACTGTGTACCGGTTCGAACTTTCTGACCCACAACCTGATCACACTTTCACCAGGACATTGATTTAGATCGTGTAAACTAAACTCAGAGCGAAACGCTCCATGGCGACTAAATTTCCGAGCACCAAGCTACTTATCCCCCGCTACACTTGTTCCGCTCCCGCGTGTCTGTCACGTGCAACGCGGTTTTGAAATACGTCTTTCTGGTCCGCTCTGTATAATAAAAAGCCTTAAAACTAGACACTATCATTTATGGATCCCTAAAGTCCCTCTAAGACGGAACCACCCATAGCGACACAGATAGCCCTAATCAGTCCAAGAGCTGAATAAGGTGATCCGATTGTGTTTATTAGCCCTATCATTTCTTGATCCTTTCACTCTCTGTAAGATGGAACCACCACAGTCCTTTACACCATTGAAATCCGAAGATTTTCAGTGTTACGGGTCCGGAATATTTTTCGACCTCGTTAGTCGCTTAGATCCCTTTCCGGGCAACCGATCGCTTGCCCTTGCCGGCAAAATACATTTAAGGGTGTATCAGAAGCTGACCCGCATGTCAAGATAACAATCAGCTGCATCTGAAGCCACCGATTCACTTCCGGTTCCTCAGATGACGAGAAATAATTGCAAACTCTGCCGACCCGATGCTCAACCTACCAGAATAAGCCCTCGTAAGAAACGAGGTGGTTTCGGTGTTTTTTTTTTATCAAAGCCGAAGCGACACGGCTTTTTATTTGATGGATCGTAAATATATAGAGTTGCTTTCGGTGTATCGGACTGGAAGGTATCGATGAAATATGGAAGGTGTACGTTGGATGGACGAATGGGGTCGGTTTCAAAGACTGTCCCGCGGAGACGGTGTCAGATTTGATCTTTGAAGGTTTCGAGGAAAATTCGTGTGATTTTCAAAGATGGAGTTTGTAGAGCATAAGGGTTCGACACGATAACAGCGCTGAATGAAAAGACGCTTTCCGGTGTTCGTAGAAAAATTGGAGTCAGGTAAATTGAAATTGACCATTGCAGTTTGAATGTGCAACACGTATGGCATCTAAGTCAAACTTTGTGAGCTTAATATCTTTGGGGACGTTCAAGTATTATGTGAGCAGATTTATTACAATTATTTACCCCCCCCTATGCCCCTTGTCAGCAAAAGTAAGCAAAGCTCTTACCCCCTCCCCCCATGCTTACGTAAACATTTGTCAATCAATGTATTGTTTTTTTAATATTATAATTATAACGTTATAATTATATTTTACTGATACTGTATTCAACATATAGTAATGGACAAAAACATTATATCTCACTAACATAAACTTATTTTAAATTTTTGGTACATATATTAAATTCAAATTAACAGTCTTCAGTCCATGAAACCCGAATCCATGATTCTAAGTTTTCGATGACATTGGATTGCTTCTTCGATTGCTGCTCAGTGTTGTGAGTTTGCTCGCTTTCATCGGATTTTGGAATGTCTCCGTCGTTTTCATCGAGCCATTCAACATCATGGTGCTCTAAATTTTGAATAATGCACATCAGTTCATTAGCACGACGAGCAGCGATTCTTACAGGTCTAACTTTCCTATCAGTGTGCGTGTTTACTTTTTTATGGATATTTTCGATGTGAGGATTTAGTGACTTGACGGAAGCATGTTCGACTTGATAGTCTCAATTTTACCATCGGACAAAAATATCTTTGAGTGAAGCTCTTAAGCGTAGAGCTACATTGCCTGGAATATTAAGAAATTGCATATACTGTTTGTTTTACTTTTACAGGTGGTGGAAGAAACCTATTGTCTAGTAATCTAGATGGGCCTCTTCTTGGTCGACAGCATTCTGTATTTTTATATTTTACAATTTGAAGCAAGTATTGCCTCTCACGCACAAGTTCTGAATACCATTTAGTGTCTGGAAAATCAGGAAGATCTTGTTCACCTGCCCCAACATATTTTGCATTAACATTATAGCCATCAATTTCCATTGAACGCCATAGCTAATACATTTCCTGCAACTTCGAAATTAGATCTTTCTAAATGTTCATCAATTGTAACGCCACGTTCATCCAAATGAGACCCAAAATGGTCATGAGGCAATTTTAAACCAGCCAGTTCCCGACTAAGAGGAGCCACTCTGCGCTCTACTCTGTTATACACACTTCTTCCAGGAGCATTGGTAGCTAAAAACAATGCATCGAGATCATGTCGCTTATAGTGTTGTATAGCAAACCCTATGACTTTTTGATAACGTGGATTTTCATCTGGCCCTCCATCGACCGTCATGATTACCACTGGTTTTACTAGTCCATGGTCAGTTTTAGCTAATGGTCGAAACTCTTCAAGTCCGAGAAGCGTCTCGAATAGCGATGTATGTTGGTCCAGAATATCCAACGGCTTGCGGTTGTCCTAGCATGTTGGAAGTGATTTTGATACCAGCATAAATAGATGGTATTAATTTATGACGCTCAGCGATTACCCAATCGTGATCAGGCAATTTGATTCTATATTCCATGTGCATTAGAAGACGTGCTTGCTTATTTGCCGCAGTTACGCCAATAGGGACTTGAGGTTTATCATATTGAGATATGAAAAATACTTGGACCAGCCAAGTATGGATGCTATGTTCTCTAAATAATGGATTGATGTTTCAGCGAACTTGCTATCTAAGTGGCACTTATGGTGATCAGTTGAGCCCGAATGAGCTTAACAGGGACTGTCGATACATGTCTTCGTCCCTCTGCAGCATTAGATTTTATGAGAATCAAATGAAGATATGCCCTACTGCGGCTAATGTCAAATCCTATTTTACGTAATTCTTGTGTGAGTTCATCAACAGCTTTTACGCTGCGAATTGATTCCGTTCGTCTTCTATCATTTGCTGCACTCCCAAATAAAGCTATATCTGCGATTGTTTTCAATAGTGAATGTTGATTGCTTTCAAGATTAGGACGTCCCACTGAATCCCTCAGAGATAGTCTTTTTTTATTTCTGGATTTTCGTGACAAATATCTTCTAACTTTCTTTTCATACCATCGCTGTGTTTCTTCTGGGCAACTGCGTTTTGAACCTTCCTGTTTAAAGACTATTTGCTGTTTTTATTTCCTCGCGCAACTTAATGATCTGTTTATCAACTTCAGCACGGCTTGGCATAGTATCACTGGCAGAATACAAAGCATTCAGTTTTTTTTCGAGTAGAGCAATTTTATTTTTCATAGCTTCCTGAGAAGGTTTTGCTCTCTGTTTATCTGTATTTTCATTTATTTCGCATTGCTGTTGTGATTAATTACCGGGTTTTATTTTATCTCCTTCCTCTTTTTTAATATTTGAAGCTGACTGTATAATTCGTGTTTTTTCTGCAGGTTTACAGGTTGCCTAAAAATAAAAACTTTCTATGGCTTCTGCTAAAGATTCTCTTATTAAGCTACATAAATACAAAGTGTAATAATATGTTTGAACGAGCAATTCGTTTCGGTCACAAAATACAGGGTGTCCAAAGAAAACAATATGTTTCACTAGAATATCTTGATGCAGGGAACAATATGAAAAACTTTGTGTCAAGTACGTTAGACATTTCGATTGGAGTCCCTCAGGGCTCTATTCTTGGACCAATCTTTTTCCTCTTATACATTAATCGGTTTGATAGTGTTCATCCAGATACCCATTTTACAGCATATGCTGATGACGTTTCTGCGATAATATCAAGTAATTCAAATATAATTTTGAAAGATAAATGTAACAACTTAATTAGGAATATCAATACATGGTTTAACCAGTACTCACTTTACTTGAATCCTTCCAAAACAACGCTTATTCGTTTTCATCACGCTCAAAAAACTGTAGAAGGGTTTCAAGTTAGATTGGGTGACGATCAACTCGATTTTAGAGGAGAAGTGGAGTTCATTTTGATTCGAACTTAAATTGGAAGGCCCACTGCGAATTTCTCACATCAAAAATGTACTCTCAAAGCTATGTGTTGAGGCAATTAAAAACCATCTTAACAGCTGAACAATTGATACAAGTTTATTTTGCTAATGTGGATTCGAGATTAAGATATGGAGTATGTTTCTGGGGTTGGTCAACGCGCTCTGAAGATGTATTTGTGTCTCAAAAAAGATGCATCCGATCATTAGCAGGCATCTCACCAACAGAAAGTTGCAAGAAATATTTTATAACTTTCAACATTTTAACTGTCCCTTCGTTGTATATATATGAATTGTGCTTACATGTTTTTAAAAATAATGAAAAATTCAAGCGAAATTGTGATATGCATAATTATGATACAAGGACTTGTAATAATTTATATGTAAACTTTAGCAAATCAAAAGCGGCATTTCGATCACCTA